TACCTATTATTTTTGCCAAAAAGATTTTATATGCATAGTTTATACATTTACTTATGTATATAACAAAAAAATAAAGCCAGAATACCTTACTATCCAAAAATTCAGTCCACAAACATATTCTGCTTGTTTTTTCAAGAGCGTGTCCTTGCGACACGTATTTCATTAAGCAGAAGCAGAGTTTGACTGGTTACAACATCCCTAAATAATCCATAGATTACCGTGGAAGGATAGAAGTCAACACGATCCACACCTAACTTAAATTACCTTACAAAAAAGTTGTGCAACCAATTGAGCAGGTACCAACGAGACTAGCAAGCCTCCTCGAACATACACTTGAACCCCGCCACGTCGAACTTCATAAGCGCTCGAAGTGCGGCCCTTTTTGCGTAGTCGAGCGGGCCCTGGAATGTCTGTTGAAAGTCTACCACTACCTGGGAATCCGACGGCTGTGAGGCGAAGGGTTCCCACTTGGACACAAGCATCTTCTGCGCTTGAAGGGTGGCGTTAGGGGCCCGAGAGGCACACTTTGCCGCCAGACGCGTGCTACGGCGGATGGTGACCACCGATGGAGAGCGACGGGTTCGACGTCAGGGTGGCGCCTTGAGGATGGGAGTCTTCAGTGAGGCGGAGACGCGCCTAGCATACTTCCTGGCAAGGGTCGAAGGCGAAACTGGCAGATCATCACCATCCACCCCCGGCGTCTCAGCATCCGCAAAGCTGAGCTGAACCATCCGTGGTGGTGAACGGGTGTCCGCCGACGATGCCTGAGCCTCCAGAGAGGCCGCAGTCAGAGTAGACGGGCGCCCCAACGCTGGAACACCCGCAAATCGACTCACAAAAGCCAGGCAGCGAGCTCATCGAGCATCGGGTCGACCCATACGGGGGGCAGCGCCCTCACACAGCGCCACCACGAGCAGATCAGACTCATGGGTGCAGCATGCGGCAGTAGAAGTAGCGATGTTGTCAGTCGCGGTAATGTTGATCTCCCTCGCTAGCTTGCTCCGGCGCCGTCAGCGTCGTCGATGGATGTCGTTGGTGTCCCCCATAGCCATCTGTGCGGCTTCGTCCGGCGCATGCAGGGAGGGCCATGAGCCGTCACCCCCTGCCACCGACGTCGTCGCCGCGACGCGCCTGGGCCACTTGCAATCCCTAGTGAGGTGACGGTAGCCGTGACAGCGCAGACAACGCCGTGGCAACCGGCAGGTCGCTACTCGGTGTGAGTAGGAAAGGTCTCCTGCCGTTGGAGAATCTCATGCCACCCATCTGCGTTGGGGGCGGAGACCCATCCGCGATGTCCAAGGCGTTGGCGGACGGGGACGCGACCATCCACAGGCCGAGCAGGGAGGCCGTGCACCACCTGCGTTCAGCCTCTCTGCCGACAACCCAACAAGCCCCGTTGTCCTAATCTTTGGCAGCTAGCCTCCCATTCAGTATTTCCCATAGTGGCACATTCGCATTCGCTTGACCTGGATCTCTTCTCTTCTCCCATTCCCATTTTTCAAACCCTAGACGGCAGAGATCGGCCGACAATTTGTAAACTTTTATAAAACTGTCAGTAATACTTGTAGTAATTTATTGATTTTAAACTGACTTAATTTTTAGGTCTCAAATATAGAGAAGGAAGAGTGGTACTACAAATTTGAGGCTTTTTTTGGAAAGAGCTATTGCAAAGAAGGGGAATCACAAGCACTTCTATAAGTTATAAACAATTTAAGTTAGGAAAAACTATGTTTTGCCCCTATCTAGAAGTTTATTTGTGATTTTATCCCTATTTTTTCAATTTTGAGACCTTCTCCTCCCTTCTCCTCATGTGAAATAGAAGCTCAGACCTACGGTATTTGGGATGGTAGGAAAGGCGAGAAATGTGTAGGCACAACGGGAGGTCTCAAATCCACAACCATGGAAGAGCAAAGGTGGTTTGTTCAACCCTTAATAATTAGTTTTGCGGTTTTTGTTAAAGTGAATTAGCGATGGCTTTAGGCTGGATAAGCTAACTACATATTACTTGTGGTGATTTATAGGCCAACTCACAGTGATTTAAAACTCGTTGTTAGAGGTCATTCTTTTTTTTAGCTTGCTAGATAATGGGCCAAAGTCATGGCAACATGTAGAACTTTACCAACCAAAGTTGTTGACACAGATAGCTTTGGGTTGCTGCATTTGGTTGATTTCATACCTAAGCATTGCATGTGGGGTTCTAAGCAATACATTACTTTGTGGCGTGGTCAGCATGCATTTGGGCATGTAGTTAACTTGGAATTGAAGACATGACTTGTAGGGATTGACAAGTGATTAGAAAGCTTTGCAGCCATGCTCTAGCTTTCATTGCAAAGCCTGGGAAGTACAAATGGATGACTTTGTCCATTAGTACTTCTCTAACCATTGCCAATTTTGAAATTATGTTTCTTCTGTTTTTTAGTGCAAGTGCTACCGGGAGGGGGAGGATGAGGGGAAGGGGAAGAGAGTCAGGAGAGAACAAAAATGACCCAATGTGAGTCATAATTGTATTGGTGCTCATTTCTACTTATTTCTTGAACTAATCAGTAGCAACTGAATACTTTTCAAGCCAAGCTCTATCGAAATGGGAAGGGAAAGAGACAAAGGTAGAGGGAGGGGAAGAGGAGGATGGCGAATAGGAGGAACAATTGGATGGCTAGCTAGTTTGTTAGGTCTCTAGGTAATCCTTGAATGAGATGCTTGCTAGGCAAACTTTTAGCTTTTGTTGACATGGTGCAAACTTGTAGCTTTTGTGGACATGTTGACATGGTGCATATTTGTAACTTTTGCGAACATGTTGACATGGTGTATGTGAGACATTGAAATATGACATGTTGGACATTTTGCTTCTCCATGGTTGTTGTCATGTTTTGACATGTAGTTCATATTGTTATCATAATGTATCAAAATATTGCTAAGATGCTACCAAAATGTTGAATAGTTTTTCCAATATTAAATTTGATTTGAAATAATTGAAAATTGTGCCAAATATATTTGACAAATATTAAATTTGATTTGAAATAATTGAAAATTGTGCCAAATATATTTGATAAAATCTAACCATTTTGTCAAAATATAATATAAATGTCTTATTCCAAATTAGGGATGAAATCACAAATAGCCCTAAAAATCAGGTGCAAAATTATATGGACATATTTGTCTTATGGTATAGAAGTTAAAACCATTAGGGGAAGATTTCGAAATAGGGGTAAAGTGGTGCTTCATTTTGAAAACATAGGGGTAATTCACAAAATAAAAAACAGAGGCAAAACCATAATTTTGATACAAAATAGGGGTATGAATGCAAGAGCCCCTTATCTCTACCCTTAAAATGATGTAGGAGCTAATGAAACTATTATTTTTGGCTTCACTGGCTTCGGCTTCAGCTTCGACTCCATCTCTGGCTCCTTCACGCATAGCAAGGAGCCGGAGATATTTCGAGCTGTGCCAAAGCGACCTATAAGTTTATGATCCCTTTGGATCATAGGAATTTCGTAGAAATTAGAGCTCAATTTATTTTCATAGAAAAAACAGCAAACCGAAAAAAAATTCTATTCCAAAGGGCTTTAAATTTAATGGAAAAAATCTATTAGTTGCACATGCATCGAGATCCTAGGATTACTAAACCAAACATCTGATTTTCAATCTGTTTTCACCATCATATTCCCTATGATTTTATCTACAAAACAAAACAAGGTCGGCAGTGCTAGCGCCTGGACGTCCCTGCGTTGCACTCCATTTCACGCGCTCCACGTGGGGCCCGTGTTGCCGAGCGACAAGAGGGGAAGGGGAAGACGCCTCCGATTCAGAAGGACCCGGCCACGGCGTCGTATGGGTGCCCTGCTAGCACCGAGAGGAGGACACACCGTGATGATGCAGCGGAAGGCGAGGAGGAGAGATGCAACAACCAATTTGCTTTTGAAACATCTAAATATAACAGTTGCAACATACGTCTGAAGACAGATGAAACACATGAAACATGCTTCTGAAACACTTAAAAAACACTTGAAAACACTTGAAAACCATTGCAAACATACATAACATCTAGATAAAACACATAACATATGCGTAAAACATATGCAACTCCAGATAAACACACTTGCGACATGCATCCGAAAAACACAGATGAAACATTGGTAACAGACCTTTACAACATACGTGTACAACCATTGCAACATGGGAGAATTATGTATTTGGCACTGAAAAAAATCAGTCTTCCGCATTTGGCACTAAAAAATTTGAACTTTCTTATTTGGCACCAAGTTGAAATTTCCTTCCCTAGATAGCACTACCGTCCATTTGGGCTAGTAATGGCGTCAAGTGGCCCGGTAAAATGACATAAATGCCCTTCTTTATATCAGAAATACATAACGCCAAATAGAAAAATAATAGATGGACAGGTTGTCAAATAAGAAAATTATAAATATCACAAATATATTGTGAACTAAAACATAAGATTTTAATAATCGAAGTCTACAAATAAATAAATAATAAATTTTAAATTCTAAGACAAGAGCAGGTCCTGCTAGGGTAGGCTTAGCACGGGAGGGATTTGCCTCGATTTATAGAAAATACATATAATATTTCTATCTCCAAATATATTTATTAAAAAACTAAATTTAAATATCAAGCATTGAAACCTAACAAAGTAGCAAGCCTCCTAGAAGTTGCTCCTCTTTCCCTCCTTCGTGTTCCCCTTCCTAAAACACTTGCACTTTATATGAAAAAAGCGAACTATGTTAGTAAAGAGAAGCAATGTTGCCTGCACCCCAAGCTAACTGGGTCACAGACACTGAACCTACTATCCAACCTTGGGTGTGGCAGCATATGGTTCCCTTCAACTCTTAAACTCCGGCTAAGGTTGAATGACCGACGATGCAAATAGGATAAACTATCCTGCCTTCTCGACGATCCTTCAAAATCAGCATCTTGTTCCACAACTGGATCAGGGACAGGAGATGGTGTGCGATAACCACCATAGCAGCATGAACCAGGATTTTTATTCAATGTCCTCCTGACAAGCTGACAAGGGATACTGACTTTTTGGCTGGGAGATTATCTTCAGTGCCAAGAACATTTCCAGCATTCAAAGGAACAATTTCTTGAAATCTGACAACAAGAAAAAGAAGTTAAACAGTTTCCAGCACTCAAGAGCATATCGTGAAGTTAAATTTTGTTTAAAATTTAGAAGACCTTGGCGCTACACACCCTAAAACATAGATATCAGCTGGAGGTGAAGAATGGAGCCATTCATCAAGATTCAATCCCCTTGGGGATTTACCTCCGACATTCCATGTGGAGGCAAAGATTCTACAAAAGCAGGGAAACAAAAGTGATCTTCGTCAGATTATTGCAGTAAAGTCAAACTGCAAGAACTACCTACAAGCACAAACAGGCAACTGACTGATTTTCAACACTGAAAATCTGAGATGCACACTACCATACTACTACTAGCACACAACAGATCAGTTGGTCCGCGCTTTCCATTTCGTTTCTAATCTCAAGGCAAAGAAGCACATGGAGTGGAAAAAAGAAACTCTACCTGTAATTCTGAACTTCTGTGAGACGTGCGCATCGACGCCAGGGGATTGGGCGGGGCGGACCTGGGGCACCTGCCGCGAACTGAGGCGCGAGCCGGGGAGGAGAAGGAGACGCGCAGCCTCACCGCCGGGATCCGCCTTGCCGCCGGAAGAGTCTCTGCCGGCGGCCAATGGTCGGGCGGACCCGCCGCCTGGGGCACCCGCCGTCCCTAGAGCACCCGCCACGAACTGGGGCTCGAGCCGGGGAGGAGAAGGGCAACGCGCTGCTCGCTCGCCGCCGGAGCCGCCTTTGCCGCCGGAAGACGCCGCCGGCAGCCGCACTAACCCTAGGCTGCAAATCGGGACGGAAAAGTGTAGGAGGCCGACGCGTTTTGCTTCTAGTGCCTGTTCGTGCGATTCATGAAGGAGGAGGGGCAGTGCTGTCACACTAACAAAAAAACTGACATTATCAAAATAGTCAACTAACAGATAAATGGATGAAATGGACGGTAGTGCCATATAGGGAAGGAAATTTTAACTTGGTGCTAGATAAGAAAGTTCAAATTTTTAAGTGTCAAATACGAAAGACTGATTTGTTTCAGTGCCAAATACATAATTATCTCTTGCAACATATGCAACATCCTGATATATTTTTACAACATCCATCTAAAACATTTGCAACATACCTCTAAAACATTTGAAACATTCGAAACATACGCTTACAATATGCGCTTTCAATAAAATAGGTAGCTAGGCGGGCGGAGCACGTCACATGGGATCCCGGCTGTGCGGTCGTGATGGAGAAGGAGGATGGTAGCGAGCGGGCGGCTGTGCAGGCCCCGGCGATAGGGCGCACGTGGTGCCCGCGGTGGAGGCGACAGCAGCATGCCGCGACGGTGCGTTCGTGGGGGAGCACGCCGCGGTGATGAAGAGGAAGGCCGGCGGGAGGCGCAGTAGAGAGAGAGGCGTGTGAGAGCCGCGGCGGAGCCGGTCACGGAGCGGACTCGCGGTGATGCGTGATTTTTTTTTAATCTGTGGTGACCGGAGGGGAACGGGGATGGAAGTCAGGCTCCCAGCATTACCGAAACAAGATCACACATCACACATGCCACATGGCTATGTTCCGTTGAAGAAAAATATATGTGGACCCAACACATTATACTTGTAGTTGTGACAACATTTCACGTGATTCTCATCAAACAAATTTTTTACTGGCACTGCTCAAAATTTTGACGTTGCCATGAGGCATGAACCAAACAATTGTTCAAGTTTTGGCACTGCCCTGTTGGCCTGGTTGACCCTGGCCAAATTTTGGCTTTGCTTATTACCTTTGTTCTACAACCAAACAGGCGCTCAGTGACGTCGGTTTCCGCCGGCCGCCCTTGTCACTGAATCCGCGTCCCATATGGCCACACTCTACTGCCTCGCCGCGGCCGAGCAGCTGCGGTCCCTTCCCCGTCCCCGGCCACCAAGGAAGCCGGTGGCAGTACCGGTAAGAGCCCAGGATGGTGATCCCGTGCGGTCAGAATCGGGGTTCCCTTGGGGAATTTGGGTTGACGGGTGTGGTCGGAGGGCTTGGGTGGTGCAATGCCTGGTGTTCGTCGAAATGTCTGTGCGGACTGTCGTGTCTCTTTTTGCCTCTCTTTACTTTTTTCATTCTTGGACCGTTAGCTGCATCAACGCTAACTGAACATCGGTGCAGTCCACCTTGCAATATTCAGCACAACATCGTAATGCATCAGAGGATGCTAACTGAACATCAGTTCTGGCCACATTGCATTGTTTGATTTGGGCATTGCGAATTTGAATACCGGGGATTTGCATGTTTTGGACCTGTTTAATGTCTGAGTATGACATTGCCTGCGTGCATAATATATGTGCATGCTGTCTTAATATGGTTCGCGTTTTATTTGCCCTGGCCTATACGCACCGTGGTTTAGGTGCAGAGTTCAATCTATTAGTTGTATGAGTGATGCTTATAATTTATCTTATTGAGTCTAGTTATTATAATTCTGTAGCTGGCTCTTTGACAGTTTACTTTGTCTGCAAAGTGTTCTCATGCTGTTATTAGTTTTAGCGATGACTTTATTGAAACATCAGGCTTATCCTACTTTATAGAACTGTATCATTAATGATTTTGTAGTTCTCAATTCTCATTTCTACTGAACTTGTCATAGTCACAGAGTACCTGATGCAACAATTGATGGCAGTAGGCACCCTTTGGAGTTGTCAAGGATGTCTGTGAAACTAAATGGAATTCAAATACCAATTTATGCTATGAATTATATATTGGTACCACGGCATCATCCAGCAAGTATGTCGTGCCTCTCATTTAGGTACTTTTTCTGAGCTTGCTTGTAAATTTAATTTTGTTTCAATGTAATCAATTCTTGTTGGTGCTACAATCACAGGAAAAGAAACAACACATGATAGAGCTTGCATTTAATAATTAATTGTAGTGGTCGGAGGGTCTCACCAACTGCTGGAACAACTGTTGCTACATGCTATCAGCTGGATGATTTGTGATACCATTATCGAGCCATGATCTTCTGTATATGATAACTTGATAAGGACGGCATTTTGCCAATGGATGCTGAAAAAATACTGCTGTATGGTTTATTTAAGCAAGACCAACACATGCTTGTTGTCTGGTACAATCAGGAGGGTGTTGTGTATGTTGATGTTTCACTTGTAGGGCATTCAATTTAGCATGGGGAGATACTTGAGATATCCTCAGATTCTTCAACCTTATAAGTTGTGTTCCAGAACATTTGCTGAAGAGGACATCTGAATAGTGAAATAACAGTATTTTGTGATGGTGACTTTTTATTTGGTATGATGTTTGAGGTGAGCTGAGTTATTGAGTACTTAATTGGTATCAGTTCATCTCCAAGTTGTAATTGATAGTTAACTGCTATCAGATGAAGTATTAATGTCCAATTTGTTATCTTTTCAGAAACAAAATAAAAGATGGATAAGAGCTCAGAGACCACAGACCATAGGGAACTTCCAGTGTTCTGTCACAGACATCTTCCTTAATATTGCCATGGAATATGAAACAGAGACTACTAAAATGCATAGGGCTTTACCTGTACTAGACATTAGTATGCTACTTGCTATTTACATTGCACTGGTGAACTTGATACAAACATGCTGGCCTATCCCTAGTAGTTCCTATATGTAAACCTAGATCATGATGCACATCCACTACATCTAACTTACCAGTGGTCTCAGGATACCATCTATATCAATGGTCGATGATTCATTAGTATCACTGCATGAGGCTTGTGCTGTCAGGCTCTGACTCTCACTTGGGTTTTGCCAGAAGTTCCTGCGTACACCACTTGAGCTCAGGCTATTTGCTGCAAGGCTGAGGTCTGACAGCAAAGTCTGCAGAGGGGTGCTGCCTTCAAGCAGGCTAACAACTTTCGACATCTTTGGTCTGAGTGTAGGTGCTGCAGTTGTGCATAGCAGGGCAACATTCAGCATGAGGAGCGCCTCTTCTGTTGAGTAATTTGATCCTAGATCTGGATCTACCAATTCCAGTAGAGTTCCTCTTTCATGTAGAACACAAGCCTGGAAAAGATTTGGAAGATGCCGTTAACTTACTAATCGAGGTATGTACATCTGAATAACATAAGAACTGGTAGGGTTTGACATTCTGATATAACACAATTTCCTCTGGCTATGCAGAAAATGAGGTACTGTTTTCTCAGTTGGTCACTCTAGTCTAGAGGTAAAAATCATAACAATGACTACTCTGTGGCTCTCTTGGGTGGAAACCCTCTCGTAAATCCCTCCCTTACAGATTCACCTGGTTTTCTCTCTCTCTCTCTCTCTCTCTCTCTCTCTCTGTTTCTGTACAGTTTCTTAGCCCCTTTCTTTATATATATGTAGTATTTATACAAAAATAAGATCTCCCCTACTCTATCCGTTTCAAAAAAAAAAGAACACTCTGGGATGGCTAGAATTTTTTTCTTAAGGACCAAATAAGTCAGAATTTAATGCACCGTGGAAATTCATGTATAAACAGAAGTTTTTTAGTAAGTACAAAAGGACAGGATGCAGGATTTGAGCTAATGTTACTGTTGATATGATAAGTTAATATTAAATTCGCTTCCATATGAAACATCCTAGTGTTTAACAAAAAAAGGATCATGTCCCAACAATATGGACAACTCATATTTGTAGCAGAAACAACTATCTGAGGTCATTGCTTCAATGTAAGGTGATCATATAGCAAACCCCCATCCAACATGGTCTAAACTCCAAACTGATGTTTACGAATGGATCAAGATTCAGGAGTTACCCAATCTAAAAGATAAACAAAGTCTTCCTTCGCCTGTAGTTTGTGTTACTTTTTCCGCTGACAATTTCCAAAACAACAACACCAAAACTGTATACATCAGCTTTATCTGTTAAATAACCACGCATAGCATACTCAGGAGCCATGTATCCGCTGCATGAATACAAAACAATCAAGTCATCTGTAAGTTATGCTGTTTTATAGACTTACTAACAAATGCTCAGATAAGTTCTTCAAATAGGAACTGATTAATATCATTAAGTGTCTTATTCAGGGAAACTGTCAATATGCTGCTGACTTCATATTTCTCCAGTGTTTTCTCTATGTTAAATGTTTTCAGTGTTTATGAGGTTTTTAGTGTTTTCCGCTAGGTCAAATGTTCCCATGTTCGTTGTATCCATTGCTTTCAAAGTTCAAACTGTCTTCCCTTCTAGAGATTCTTATCTGTAGCGTAGCCTTAAGGTCAATAGGATTTTAAAGAAAACAAGGGTATGGGATGAAAACACTTACATAGTTCCAGCTACTTTTGTGCTTATGTGGGTGTGATCATCTTCATTAAGCTTTGCTAGCCCAAAATCTGAGATCTTGGCATTCAAATCTTTGTCGAGCAGTATATTGCTGGCCTTGATATCTCGGTGCACGATCCTTATTGCAGAATCCTCATGCAAATATGCTAGACCTCTTGCTATTCCAAGGCAAATCTTATGCCTTGTTCCCCAATCCATTCTCAATCTATACTGTTCAACTGGACACAGCGGTAACATTCCGTAGACATAATCTGAGTTCTATGTAGCATAAGTTTAAAAAGGGTAAACCAAGAAACATGGAGAGTATTTTTACCGAAAAGAGCTCGTGCAAGGCAATTGTTTTCCATATACTCATAAACTAGCGACAGCTGGTTTCCTTCTGTACAGCAGCCATAGAGTTTGACAAGGTTAGGATGCTGCAGTGCAGATATCATGCCTATCTCATTCACGAACTCCCGATTCCCTTGTTTAGACCTTGATGACAACTGCTTGACAGCGATGATGGTGCCATCAGATAATAAACCCTGTCGAGTCAGTGAAGGCAATGTGCCAGTGTAAGAGTTGTACTTTAGGTCTTTAGCAGTATTAACCTTAGAATAATTTACGTGTGCAAAGCAATGCTAACTGACCTTGTATACTGAACCAAATCCTCCTTCACCAATCTTGTTAGCTGCATCGAAGTTCCTAGTTGCTGCTTTGATTTGACGCAAGGTGAAGGAGCCAATTTGCAGGTCAAGGGCTCTGAGTTCTGCAGGATTTATGTTTGGTCATTATACTAAGATACATAGGGATGATTTCTTTGTTCCCACAGCAATATGCAAAAGCTTTACTATGCTGGCTTAATTGTTTGTTGTCAAGGAAAAATTTTAAACTATGAGATCTCTGTTTATTTTGGATCCACGGTATTATCTTGCAATTCCTAGTGCAGCTTAGTTAGGTGTGCTCTAGCATGTGGAGTTCACCAAAAATTGAAAGATAGTTACCAGTTTATTAAATAACACAAAATTTGAAACGAGAAAAATAACCATATACCTTTATGCATCGAACTCTTTCTCTGCTTCTTAATAATACAATAAATGCCGACGATCAGAGCAGCGAATATTGCTACAATAGGGATTCCAATTATTAAAGCAATAGATGCCCTTGAACTCCGTTTTTTGCTACTTCCAGCTTTGGGAGGCTCAACAGCCTTATGGAATCAGGAAATCTGAACATGATCAACATAAACCACAACTGCCAGATCAGTATGGAAAATAACAGCTTTCTTTCGAAACTATAATCTGCAAGTGTTCAATATTTGTGTCAGGATTCAAAGGAACAGACTTGGAGTTACTGATATTGCAGATATCAGTGGGCCATAAGAACCTCTATATGGAATGCCAGTTGTCCCTCTTCCTGCCCAATAGAACTGAATCTCTAGAGTGTGATTTGTGACATATGTTTGAAAAGTCTTGATAACTGGCTTTGCAGCCGCACCGGCCGACTGTTCAATGTCGAAATCCTCTAGCACCATTCTTCCCTGAGGTTAAAGAGCCCATCTTTTATATCACTGCTAACAAAGGGAAGTTTTATAATAGAAAGGAAACGACTAACATCTAGTTTACCTGTATAAACACGTTGAATCTTCTTTTGCCAAGGCTATAATATGTGCTGTCATTTGTGAAAACAATTTCAGCAAAATGGAGATTAACTGTGTAGCTCCCACTTAACATGCAAAGCCCATAATATGTGAGGGAAAGAGGAGAAAGACGGGCTTTGGTGTACAGATCTGAATTGGGCACGACCAATGTTGATGCGCTTGTTGCAATGTAGTCATCGTCATTTATGTTGTCATCCATGAAGTTCCCGGTGCTGCTGAATGCCCAGTTCAAGCCTGGGGATACATACAGCAATGATGCCCCTTTGGGTGTTGTGTCAGCTTCATATTTAGTTCCATTGATAGTTGCTTCTTTGTCACCGCAATTGATATGCAATGAAGAGTGATCTGCGAAAATGTGTAGGTAAGTTTTCCTTGCATCTGAAACAAGAACACTAGCTATGACCTTGGCTTTATTTACTAAAAAAACAATGTACCTTTGTGTAGGAAGTAAGTCCTAATACCAGTAAGTGATTTTAAGGGGCTTGTGTTTAGCACTTTTACTAATAATCCTACAGGCTATAGCAATCTTTAACTTATCCAAAGTTCATTAATCATTATCAATGCTGCCCTTGTCTGTCATAATAATAAACAAAATCGACCTGTTGGGGAAAGACCGCCCCCACAGCACTGCACTAAGAAGATTAGAAGAAGTTTCTCGGGTGCAGGCCGAGAGACACCCCAAAGGTTGGCTGTCCTGAACATGCCACTGAGCGCCCAGGACACATGCTGACAAGGTGTATCTCAATGCATTATGGTGTACCGATGCTTTAGAACTAACTGTGAATCAACACTAGGGATCAACTTACATTGTCCATTCGAAGCAACACATGGAAAATTCCTCTTTAAGCATGGTTGAATACTATTTCTGTGCACGGAAGGCAAACGTGGGAATTAGAACATTTTATTATGTCTAGACAGGTCCATGGTTTAAACTTTATTATTAAATTGAAGCAACGAGCTAAAGGATCTTACAAACTGTTCGCTTCAGCTGAATAGCTCTCCACGAGATTGCTGCAGTTGAAGGATTCGTAGGAAAGGGTTATGTTATGTATTTTCTTAAGGATTCTGTAGAGCAAGAAGACAAGGTATCATGCTAAAGCTTTCTTACACACTCCCTTGAAGGCATTGGCTAGGACCTGAACTCCCTGTCGTGAAGTTATTAAAAGATATGTCCCTGCATATGATCATTTTCTGTTATATTGGGTTGTATTGAAAGCTTGACTTCTTGTTGCCAAAAAAAAAAAAAAGAAAGAAAAAGAAAGAAAGAAAGCAAGCAAGCTTGCCTTCTTGCTTTTTAGTTCCATAATATGGGGTACTTAGTTACATGTACATACAGGTATTGAGCAATTTTTCTCTATGCAGCCACCAGTTAAACAAGAGTGGACATAGGAAGAAAACTCAACTGGTTCAATGCTATTTCCATCATGACATGTATCATGGATGCATTTTAAAAATAGAAATATTTTATCAGTTTTCTACTATTCGTGTATGAAGACCATTTATCCAGCAATTGGCATAGTATTAACCATCTTAGAATTAGAAAGTTGAAGTTGTACTTTCTTAAGTTCTTAACTTTTATGATAGCTCTAAAACGTCCTGGAAAAGAAAGGTATGTGGTATTTCCATGGATGTTTGTAGGTATCGGCTCATTGACCTATCTATTTATAAGAGATATGGGTTCTTGATTCAGCATTGATGCCTCAGAGTGTGGAAGTAGGTTATTACTCACGCAATCTTGTTTCTTCTTAGTAACCATCCAGGTATGTTCCCAGTGAGTGAATTTCCAGTTAGATATCGGCAGGCAATTTTGGTAGAAGCACATTCAAGAAAGGGGTACAATGAAGTATCATGTTTATTTCAATTTATGAAAGTGCCACTACTTACATGTAATCTACAGCTCCCATGCTAGCAAAAGAAGGTGGTATTTCTCCACTCAGTTTATTAAAGCTGAGATCCCTGCATAGACAATGTTATAATAAAATATGTGAATAATAAAAACATTCTAGCGCTTACATAAATTGTGATTTATTACAGATGCTTAAGAGTTGTCCATGTGCCAATGTAAGGAGGTATGCTTCCACTGATGGAACAGTTCCTTAGTACCCTACATTTGAGTATCATATGAGATATGACAGACAGCATATGGCAAGCTTGAACTTCAGTAAACCACAAACTTACAATTTGTTCATGGATGTCATTCGACTTAAATCAGGGAAAGATGAACCACTACCTCTCAGGTCACTAATCCTCCTGTTTCACACAGAAACACAACCAGGATTTAGTGAAAACTAATAATATCTTTTTTTATGGTGGAGCAGTAAGGACTTATACCCAGTAAGTGATTGTCATTATATATATGTAAAATTATGAGAACAATAATTTCAAACATTTTCACTGACGTACAGATCAGAAAGGTTTGTCAATTCAGATAGGCTCGAGGGAAGTGGCCCTTCCAACAAAGATCCTTCGATTTGCCTGCACCAAGAGGAGTTACATACTTACAATACATAAAGAAGGTATAAGCATGTGATTTCTGCGGGTATAAGATATGTTTCTTCATAGATTCACTGACTCACAATTTTTCAAGCCTTTTCAATTTACCCCAAAAATCAGGCATCCTTCCAGAAAAATTGGTGCTAGAAATCCTCCTGTTACCAGTTTCAATAGTTAAAAATTAACAAAAGATTCTTCAAAGTGAAACGAAGTGGGAAAAGAATATAGATGAAGGAGTAGTCTTACAAATCAGTTATATTACTGAATAGCGAAAGAGCAGTTGGAAGGGGTCCAGTGAACTCATTGGTTGATAATATTCTAAGTTACAGGATGAGAATGTAAGTCATCAGAAACTACATTGACCAATAATCATATTTTAAGATAAATACACTCACAGCTTCTCTATTCGAATTAGATGCCCAATTTCAGGAGGCGTTGGCCCATAGAACTCATTGCTTTCAATGCTCCTGCAAATTAATTTGCCAGCCATAATTCGGAAAGGGTACTCATGAAGTAACTAATAGAAATACTAGTTTCTTTCAGGCTCTTACAGGTTAGTCAGGGTTGTGATCCTCGTGAGAACCATGGGAAAAGGCCCTGACAATCTGTTCCCCATCAGTGACCTGCATGGCTTTGGCATCAACAGATCAACAACATGCTATGTGTGATTCTGTTTGTTGTACAAAATGAATTATTAAAATCTGGGCCATGGATGTTATAGTCAGATGAACAAGAATTCACTATTCTAACAAGACTGCAAAGGGAGACTACTAGATTGTTGGTCACTGCTAAATTTATTTATTTTTTCTTGTGTTGAACCTAAACAATATATGAACTACTGAAAAGGTTGGTATAGGTGCACAGATGATGACTAGTATACACAAAGTTGGCTTTTGACATGGGACAAAAGCCACCTAATCTATCACAGCATCCTGATGCGGGAAAAATTGTGCTTGGGACTGGTCTAATTTGTTGCTATCATAGATATTCCTTGCCGACACCCTAGGCCCTACACCACAGACGAGACAGACTGTGGCTTCACAAAGTGAAGGAAAATCACTACCCAGTGGCACGAATCTTTCCCTGAGGCTCCATGATTAGCTCCACACACTACATTTTGTTCTACTACCAGTCAACCAGTCAAGCAGACAATGGGCAGGTAAAGTGCAAGGGCACTCACAGTCCTTGTAACTTCATCCGGGCCCACTGGTCAGGCACTCCACCATGAAACAAGCTCCTGCTTAGATCTCTGCAGCACGGAAACAACGCATTTACGTTTTCTTTCTTTATGATATTATTTTTTAACGTAATTCTTTATGATACTATTACTATATGTGTTTTTTTGACACGAGGAACCTTCCCCATTTCCATTGATATCAACGGAAATACAGCGTTTTAATATTACTATATGTGTTATGTTGCCATCGCTCTTAACAGCTGAAGCTTGTGGCACCGATCATTTTGACCAACAGTTGACTAATTGAGATTGAAAATTCACAGCTGGAGGAGGTTGGGGAGGTCAGCGAAGTCTGGCGGGAGCTCACCGGAGAAGTTCTGCCCCTTGAGGAATCTGCAAATTAAAGATTATCATGGTGCCAACCGCCAAACCGGGTGATGTGGTTTCGTTGGCTCAAGCAATTAAAGAAAAGAAAATTGGGTCAAAAAGGAGTGTGTGGAGAAGTGAAGCGTACATCTCGGTGACATGGCAGATGGTGCCGTTAGAAAAGGAGCAGTCACAGTGCACCCCAGAGTCGCCTTGGTCGCAGGGACCGGTGCCGGCGGTGAAATCCCAGCTGGACACACCCAGTCTGACTGCGATCCGTCGAAGGACGCGCGCTGCAGAAGGAGATTGCAACAACACGGTTTCAGCAGATGGGGAGAACACAGCATCTGAGTTGAAGAGAAAGAGGGAGAACACAGCATCTGAGTTGAAGAGAAAGAGGAGGAAATTAAACGAATTTCTGGTTAGTTGCAGGCAGCAGCATGCCAGGCATTTTGCCCGTCTCCATTGCTGGTTTGGTTTGCAGCTGAGACTCTGATCAGTGACCACATTCACATTTGCCAGATGATCTGTGAACGTCCAACCAAAGGCGTGTTGCCCTGAATTTCCAGGTAAGCATGCATTCCCCTAGTGAAGTTATGGAGTTCTTCATCCCCCCAAAAAAAGGGAACTTTTGTTTCAAAGAAACTGTTTCTTGGAGATTCTTTGGCAGGTGTTGCAGCAATTAGGCAGCTCAAGAGTGAAGAGTCCGAAGCAAGGGTTGGAAGCTGGACAAGAAGGCTGCCTGGCAGGCAAAGAACATGCTCCATGCGCAGCCATTTGTTTTGCCTCAGAACCAGTAAGGCAACAACTGAACTGAAAAAGAAGGTGCAATCAATAAATGCAGTACAGCAGCGGGGCGAGAGTAAACACCTTCAGCTGGAACGAGGCTCGGAGTCGAACGAGCGGCCGGCTCGCTCCGCCCTGCACCATGGACGGCCTCGGCGAGCAGCAAGCCGAGGAAGAAGACCATGCAGAAGCAGCTCCAGCCACATGGACATGGCGGCCTACACGCCATCTCTCTCTGTTCCAAGTGGAGGTGGTGAACTGGTGATCAGGTGAAAGTAGTGGAGGGACCGGAGAGAGGAGTGAGTGACTTGCTATCTATATCCCTTTTTTTCTCTCGTATATAAAAGGCGTCTCGGTCTTTTGGAGTCTTCTCCGCAGTATCTATCATTGGCGGCATCGGCATGGCACGGCACGGGTGTCGCTGCACTACTGCACCTCTCCATACGAGACGTCTCACGAGTGCGCAGGTGGAATTGCTTTTTGGTTGCGCTGCAGCCTGCAGGTCTGTGAGAATCCCAAGCGGCTCGAGAGGGAAACCGTCCCTCTTTGGGATCAGGATGGGAAGCCGTTGACGACGAGGAGCAGAGGTTGGTCTCCTTGCCTGGTCTAACTTCCTGTTCCGGATAACACATGATTTTTTTTTTTACGACTAAGATCCAACAGCCTTTATCTTTCTTCTATCTCTAGCCTTCTTCTACCTTCAGACAATCATAAGATCACAGATTCACGGATCATAGATCACATATCACAGAAAATAATTTTTTTCTATGAAAGAACAAATTATAGAGCGGTTTGTTTCATTGCCTGCCCGATCGTCATGGGTTGTCGCGTCGTGGTCCCCTGGCCGGTGCGGTGCTGCGCTGCTGGTGCTGCTGCTGATGTACTGCTGGTGTCGCATCATGGGTCGTCGCGTCGCGTCATGGGTCGTTCGTCATAAGAAAGCACACTGCTGGTGCTGCGCTGCCTCGTGCGCTCGCCGCGTGTTTTTGTGCTAAAAAATTCATGTGTTTTTTTGTGCTAAAACACATGTGTGTTGTATAACATTTCTGTTCCGGATGCAATGCACTACTCCCTGGTCCCTTTAAATCTTTGACATGGATTATGCCAAAGATTTAAGGGGGTGTTGAGCTTGAGAAATTGTATGATTCATGCCCTTTGAACCGAAAAAAAGAACCGAATGAATTAGGAACGAGGGATAGAATAATAATTTTACTAAAATTTGTAAAATAAACTCATGATATCTTAGACAAGATGATTGCTTAAACGGAAGGGCTAGCGCCTGAATATCCAGACGGATAGCGCGTTCGGACGCTGCTCCTGCGCCACCTCCGTACGCCCGTGCGATTCGCTCGCCCACACTCAGGTGTACGCGGGGACCACCCGAGCCCGCTCCATTCAGACGCAACAATGTGCCTCCGTCACGCATGCCCATGGGAAGCCTGCTCCCTTTTCACGCGCTCGCATGCACATGGGACCGATCCCAGTCACCTGCCCTGCCTGTGTATGCACGCCACAAAGGTGTCTGCCGGACTTAGGCACCCGCACAGTGACCCACGGCGGCGCCCCAGCAACAGTAGCAGACGGCTTCGGCATGCCACTATCCGCCAGCCATCGGCTCTATTGCAACATGTGCTCTCCCAGATATACTTTTGAAACATCTAGATAAAACACTTAAAACATACGTCTGGAAACAAATGAAATACTTGAAACATACGCTTGTATAGCCATAGCAACATATGCAATATCCAGATTTACTTTTGCAACATCCAAATGAAACACTTGCAATATACGTTTGAAACACCTGGAACACTTGAAAACATACTCTTGAAACATGCATATTATGCAACATCTAGATATACTTCTACAACATCCAGATGAAATATTTGAAACATATGTCTAAAATAACCGAAACACTTGAAACATACGCTTGCAACATGTGTATATAGCTATTGCAACATTTGAAACACCCAGATGAAATACTTGAAACATACGTCTGAAACACTTGAAAACACTTGAAACACGACATCGCTGACGACCATGGCCTACCTGTTGGGGAAGTGCAGTATCCAACAAGCTCGGGTCGGGGGATGTCGAGAACAACGACCAGCGTATACCTCCGCCTCAGGCCTTTGTACCGTGTCCGCGCCACGGTGCGGGACATGGCAGGGAAGATCGGCAAGGAGGACAGACGGAGGCCGCCCTTGCGGAGGCGCTGGGGTGGCTGGAGGAGCGGGATAGCGCCACCGGATGAACAACGGAGGAGGACTATGAGGAGAAGCTCAGTGAGGTGGAGGAGGTGTGCAGCCCAATCATCAAGAAGGTGGGGCGGCGGGGATGGGGGCGTGGCGTAGGATGGGCGTGCGGCGCGGCGCAGGCTTGGCTTCTGGTGAATGGATAATGGATAAGAGAGCGGATGGATAAGATCGAGAGGGATGGTGAGCGATGGACTGCTTTTAGTGGAATGTGGGCCTGCATTCGATGCGTCCGGACATCAGGTAAGTAGCATTAGGGTTGCTTAAACCCAACACCTCTGTATGTGTTATATACACCCTATAACAAGGAACTAATCATGCACTTCCCCTAGCTAGACACATGCTAACAGTGTACACCTTCTCATCGGTGTGAACGCTCTCTTCAACATCCCAAGTAAGTATACGTGGTATAAATATAAATAAACAATAGTAACTGTAGTTTTCATGCACATTTTTCAGGGTTCCTCTTTTGTTCTCCGGTCCAACTTCCAGCCTGGCGGTGGCGGGCTTGTCGGTCCCAATCGGAGTCAAACTGTTGACTCAAACAACGTCTGAGCTGAACGTACGGCTGAAGACCAATGCAATAGAGGATGATGCATCGCTGTCTTGACAACCTGGACGATTGGGGCCGGAATAGATGTGTCTAGGGGACAAGCGAAGCTCTTCTGATCCGCAGCTTCGGTGCCGCCAAAAAAATTCGCATGGATTCGGATTCTGCCTACGCCTATTAGTACTCTCTTCCATCATCAGCCTCGAGCTCCACTGCTTGAACGTTCGTATCAGAGGCTCGGAGCGAGATTTTTCTAGCCCTACAGTATTTGTTTCCTTTTTTCCTCCCCACACCCCACTGGCCACTTTTCTTATTTTCTGTGGTTGTTACAGTTCTTCGATCGACAGCCTGTTCGCTTCGGTTGAATTAGCTTATAAGTCATGGTTGAAGTACCGCTGGCTGGTTTGGTGTGAAAGAAAAACACTGTTCAAACCGTAGATTATAAACCAGATACGAGCGAATAAGCCAAAACAAAGGCTAGGAACTGTCCATATGCAGAAATCAATGTCGGACACTGCAGGCCTGCAGTGCAAGTTTTTCCGGTCCTGAAAAATACAACTGTAGCCTGTAGGTTGGGGTTCCATCCCTTATTATTAAGTTATTATTACCATGTCTCGGTAGCGCTAACTGCAACTACACACTGTTTACTGTAGGTTGGTATATACTATGCAACTGATACTATATATTTATCTAGTCCCTTTTTAAATGTCGTTTTCACTTCTAAGAAGTCAATTACTCAACTTTGACCAAATATATACAAGAAAAAAACAATATTTATGGTACATAATTAGTATTATTAGATAGATCGTTAAATCTATTTTTATAATAAACTTATTTGGTACTATTTTCTATAAATCTAGTCAAATTTAACACAATTTCATCATCACGAATACCATAGCGACACCTAAAAAGAGACATAGTGAGTGATCAGACAACCCCTATTAGATTAGGCAGCTGTCAGTGTCAGGTAGTTGAAATAAAAGTCTCTTTCACACATTGATCACCCCATAATTTTCCAATCAGTACAGTGGCCTAGTCAACTAGTAGCATGCGTCTTATCAAGATTTACTTGAGCCTGTAGTTAATAATAATAATATCATTTTGAGAATTTTAATGTTTATATTTTTCTTCATGTCTCATGAGTATTTAGGTTTTTAATAACTATTAAGAACCCTATGCTATACAACACTTGAGTGTTTCTACCCTTCTTAGCCCTTGTTTAGTTCGTGAAATTTGAGAATTTGGGATACTGTAGCACTTTCGTTTTTATTTGGCAATTAGTGTTCAATCATTGACTAATTAGGCTCAAAACGTTCGTTTCGCAATTTCCAACCAAACTGTGCAATTAGTTTTTTTCGTCTATATTTAATGCTCCATGCACGTAGCACAAGATTCGATGTGATGGGTACTGTAGCACTTTTTGGGAAAAGTTTTCGCAAACTAAACAAGGGCTTAAACACTTGGATTTTTGTTCTCCTCTCTCTCTACATGCCTTCTCCATCTCTAGTGGCTTTAAAAGAAAAATACGGGGAATCAGAGGGTGGAAGGCTAGACCAGCAGTCATGGCAGGCACGGGAGCGGTGAGGCAAGGCGGCGGGGGAGCCACTAGTTTGGGCAGCGCAGGACAACGGTTGGGCCACCGCTGGAGTGGCGGCAATCATAGCAGTAGCAAGGCTCTGGAGTGGCGCAGCTAGGTTAGCATTGCATAAGGCGGCAGTTGTGGATCCTACGACGTGCAACCACAGGAGACGAGATAGGTGGGTGAGATGGGGGCTTCATCAGCCATGGTGGCTATGTGAAGAAGAAATGGCTATATGGTTGAGCAAGAAAAGATATATAGTTGTTCGATCTTGATCGGACAGAAAGAAATCAAATGCTGAGGTCCTATAAACACCCGTGTGTTGAGCATATGAAAGTGCATCTAGGTTCTAAGTGGATTTTGGTGGATTGCATGACAACACGAGTAAGAGATTAATGAATTTTATGAAGATTGTAGGTATTTAGTTCCAGGTATAATTGATATGGTTTGAACTCATATCGTGAAGAAAACGACATAAATGAGAAATGAGTCCAAGTTAATATGATAAAATGCATACATTACAAGCATGTGATGAATATAGCAAAGGGGCTATGGTTTGATGGATATCTATTGCTCTCTCATGTGAAGCTTAATCATATCGTGCAATGTAGATATTGCGTTTCACAATTGATGAATTGGCAAGCATGATTATCAAGTGAAGATGAGACAATTGATTGCATATGGAATAATCTCACTCATGAAGCTTGCTAGTTCAAATCAAGTAGAAAATAACAATGCAAATAAACGTATGCTTATTGTTGGTTCAAACCAACATGTGGCTTAGGATGGCCTAAAATGGTAAAGATAGCAAGGAAAGGGCTTCAAGGGACTAAGAAAAGGATTGCATT